TTGTCGAAAATTTGATTCCTTTTTTCCTTGTGTAACGGGGGTAACGCTTTATTACCAACATACGTAGAAACGTCAGTCCGTGATATGCTACTGCCTCAACGATTGAGACCCGTGTTAATTTCTTTAAGCTCACCTAGCGTATGATTGAGCGCCATTTGATTCAGTTTCAACAGCCGCCTTATCGCTCGTCGTGCCTCATCCGCAGAAGTATTGTCAACGGCCTTCAGTCTTTCAATCTTTTGCAGGGCTTCTACGACAGGGGCATATCGTTTGTAGAATGCTGCCAACAGTAGAGATCCATTCGGTAACAGTGAAAGAGACCTTACCTGCTGGACAGGACCAAATGAACACCAGCAAGGCCTAGATTAAAAACTTTGCTTTTTGCCAAGGCATACTTGCATAGAGAAATCCCGGGAAACACCTAGATATTAGCCTCCGGGGTTTAGCCAAACAAATTTCCGCTCTTAAAAAGGGTTATGACAGAAAAATTATATATTTGTCGATGCAGTGTCTTGAACGATTAAAGCTCTGGCCAAGAAAACCATAATGGTGTGCGAATGTTTAGACATGAGAAGAATCAGTCTGTAAGGCCGTGAACATTTCCGAGCATCGCAAAATAAATCGCGATTATTCAATAAACCTAACAATGATCTTAAGTGTTGAGCCTTATAGCAAAGCCCAAATCCGTGATAGAAAAACCTTGAGCGCCTAGCCTACAATTCTTAAAGCTTTTCGGGCATTACAACGTACCGTATACGGTGGATTCTGTATAAGTTTATCGTTTACAATATGCCCATCGGTATGGGCACTGCCATCAGTTGAATGTTTGAGCTCCTTTACTCGGTTAGCATAGCGTAACGTATTTAATGTGTTCTCGCAAAAATTTTGACCGGGCGAAATCATGGCAATCTGAAAGCAAAATTCTAATTTAATCAAGCCGTGCTTAAAATGCTATTCGCAAATTAAAATATGGCTAACCAGGAAAATCAAGCGTGAACGAAATACAGTGTAATAACAAAAAAAAAAAAAAAAAAATGGCAAAGAAACGGTTGATGCTGTAGGCTCGAACGCTGGCCTGTTATCAGGTCAATAGCACTGGCTGCATCAACAATCGTTTAATCCACAGTAGTTATTTATGGAACATCTATCCACATGTCGCAAAAAGACTATGTCTTTAATTATATCGTCGCGTATATAATTATGATTTACCCTTTTTGAATTGAAATTTCCAATCATACTATACACATTTATGTGTCAAATACAACATTACAAGCCGCTATTCCAGTGGCGCAAAAAAAGGCGCAACGTGTCCTGTTCAGTTGATGTAGCGCTGCTCCGTATATGATTGCGAGAACATTCATTTATGTGTTCCACGACCTCAATGTTCCCATCGACTCTATGGCGTTGCGCATTTGTAGCGGGAAGCAGGAAGTGATAGGGAGTGAAATAGACGTATCCATTAGTTTCATAAATCTATCCGTTTCTCGCCGCGTCATTCCCTTTTGACGTCCAAAGTATTCAAAAAGCCGCTATTCCAGTTTCCCGGATTAGGAACAGCAAAAGTATTAGGACGCTTAGATGGCTAGCTAGCTAGCGATGCACGGTCTTCTTTTACACGATTGTGAAAGTGCTTCAGAGTCTATGTGATGATCAAACGTCTTTACGTTTCCGACTTCAAGCGCTTTTCTGGTGCTACAAATCCCTGTTGGTTCTACGCACGGCGCGTACATAGCTATGTATCGAGATTGCTTGATGTCTCCAACCACCACCAAGCTTACTAGATAACGTTATGATATAGGATGACGCGCCAGGAACAACTAAAAACTATACCTTCATAGTTAAATGTGTGACGTTCATTATTGAGCCTAATTCAGCCCATATATTTTGTCTACTCTTGAATCATGAACCGATACTAAGGTCTATTTTCTTTCTTCCTGTAGTAAAACCCTATGTCAGGTTTGTTAAAAAGTAAGCTGCAATATATAACACTGAGTAAAATGGTATTCCGCGAAGAAATATATTAGTGACGTTTCTTCACCTAACTTAAATTATGGGTGTATACATATCCGTTTTTGAAAGCAGGCTACTTCAGTCCCGTGCAATTTTGTTTCCTGCAACGGAAAGATTTGCTGAATACCAGGAACTGTAGAAAAAGGTTCGCTCGATCAAGCGAAATTTACAACCTTCGCCTGCCCTATATTTGCTAGTCTACAACAATAACGAACTAAGGCACTTCGTGTGTTATGAGCCTTGATTGTCAGGTACCGAGACAGCGCATCTTTGCAAGGAAGACGTTGCAGAACGTTGAAGGCAAATATTTCGTTGGAAAGCTGTCAAAAGCGTAGCTCATGGGAAATCTAATCTTAGGCCGAGAAAGATTCACGAAGTTTTTGTTGGTCGCCACAATTATTTAACAATAAAGTGTAAAAATAATGTTAGTAAACCACCAATTTGACAATGGGTTACTCAGTGCTTTAAAGGATCCTGAAGAAAGTTTTCAAGGCGCTATGCTTTGGGTGCCATCTTCCACTTGGTCTAATTACGTAATCTCACACAGAATCGGGTAGCACATAATTTACTATTAACATCTGGTCCTTCTGTCCATTCACTCGACGATCGTAGAAGTTTCGAATTCAACAAATGTGGAACTTCAGAATTTCGAAAGACTTAATATTTAACATGACAAGCGTATTCTACGGTGCTCACTTAATAACATACTGTGAGCCTATTCAACTTCTGGTATAACTTATCTATTCGCGATTTATTGCTATTTAGATGAGAAACTCGGTGTTTGGACTTAGTGAAGTCACACGAAAATCTTTAAGATATTTGTCTGTAGTGCGACCTTTTCAGTATATATATATATATATATATACGCTTATGCTATGTTTTCTATATTATCACGTAAATGAAACGCTCTTCCACCTAAAACGGAAGTAGGTTCAACGATGGCCTGTGAACGACATGCGCCTAAGGCGTCTGCACAACTAGACCACTATTCAATGCCTGCCTAACGCACGAATCTCTGTTCAACACATACATGTACAACAGCTTTCAGGTTAGGACAACAGTCCATAGCAACTGCCAACTTCTGTCCTCCTCGACCTAGTCAATGCCAAAATCAGTCTTGACTATCCCAATGATTCATTCACTCATTTCCTTTGAGCTCCCTTCTAGTTTATATATATATATTGCTTGATTTTGACATTCCAGTGACCGAATTAGTAGGTATATCAAAGCTAACGACGAATGTCGTCGCCATTAGCTATAAGTTACGTTTCAACAATCAAATAAAATCTTGAACGAGCTTGTAGTATTAACCGATAAATTATAAAGTAAAAATAAACTAGGGTGGACAAATATATGATCTAGGTAACAGTAGAACGTTTGAAAAATAGTTTCCTTTAGAAAAAGATAGCTATGATCGGTACAACATTATCAGATATTGAAACGGTGTTCCCCTCTAATAACTGATCTGTAAACTGAACCAATCGACCCCAAGCGCCAGTTTATATCGAACAACTTGTCCGGTTTACGCTCTCTTATACCGAAGAAACGTAATTAACACACATCATGTTTAATCGCTTGCGGACTATTCATTAGCCGTACTCTCACTTGAAATTTAGCTTGCCACAAAGCGTTACGAGTAGTTCCAATCTGTAGCTCGGTACAGCCAGTGCCTCGTAATGCTATATTGCGTTCTTATTCTAGCAAGAGTTCTCTATCTATTCGCATGAGCCATACCGTAGCAGGGTTCAGTCTGCACCCCCGCCGTTTCTCCTTTGGATCGATGAGGCCGACTCGGGAGTACAAGTGTGGACTGATTCCATCTGATTGCTAACTTCTCCCATCTGAGGGAAGTTAACGACAATCCATGTGCTTCATCAGGCGTACGACGGACACCAGAAGGTCGACAATGAGGGTTCTTGGCTTGACAAAGATTTTCTCGTAACATCGTCAGAGAATGGGAACAAGTGAGTTCGGCGTTGCTGGCTGTTGCTAGGATATCGGATAATATTGCATCAGTTCGCTCAGATTGCGAGCTTGGCCAACAGGAGTTTTCGCGAAGTATCATTATACCGACACAGATGTGAATCACACGCGAAATCGCACGTACCTTTGTCGGTCTGCAGGTCGAAGCAGAAGGACAAGGAGGCCGCCGCTCTTTCAAATAGTAATTTCTAATATATCGGCCAGGAATTATCGAATACAAGGTAGCGATCCGCAGCTTAGCTCAAAGGAGCAAAGAAAATAAACGGATCGTAGGTGCTACCTAGGATGGAACTATATGCAAGAAGATGTCCCGTTTATATATATATATATATATATAGATAGATAGATGGATAGATAATAATAACCGCGACAGCTTTTCTACGATAAACATTATCATGGTTAGCACCCGGTTACGTCACGGAAAAGTAAATACTATTTTTAAACACTTCTTGACGGGCAAGCTAAACATCTTTTTTCGAAGTAATATCAAAAATATACCGAGCCATGGCCCAAGCGGATAAAGGGGTCCAGGGTTTAGTGGATGAGAGTCCCACAGTACCGGACTTAGAGCAGACTTGCCCTGCCTATGCCCGGTCTGCATAATGCATTTGCCCTCAACCTCCAAAAAAAAAAAAAAAAAAAAAGCTAAACATCTTTTGACAAAGCCTATTACGCTTTTATTTGCCATATAGTTAAGATAGGGTTACAGGGTAAGGCTGGATGATGCATATGTCATCATTTGTTTCTATGCGTTCCTCGGTGCATCGCGTCATAAGGTTGAATTTTAGCGTTCGCAACTAGATGAGCAATGCCTATCCTGTATGGTGTGGTAACTTTGGTAAACCCAGGTTTAATTCGCCTGGAACAAACTCTCTACTACATGAAGCGATTCTGATAAATCTTGTAAATCTATACAACAGAGAAAGCAGTCTGCAATGGCACAACAGACTGATTTAGCAAGAACTCTCCGTTAAATGGGAATATATCTGTTGACTGAAGGTCACGCACTCACTACTGGCAGGCAGAAGTACAGACCGTCAGGGATGTTTGCGTAAAGATGATCGAATGGCATAGTAAAATTGGAAATGTTGTGCGAAGTTATCCAGTCAGTCTAATTTTAATCAAAGATAGTTCCCGTTGAGGGCTAGATGGCAGTCAGGTACGCTTGATTGAATTATAGTTCGTCGCCTTTTCGTTAAACTTCACCTCAGGCTATCATGACTGGTCATGAAAATCACATTATTCTATCCATGATTTGCAAAGAGTTTTTCTTTTCGAGGGGAAGCGTCAATGGTTTTATAGATTTCATAACGAACATAATACCCAATGGGAATAAATGGACTCGTCTACGCGGCCATAACTAACAAGCATTTCTTGTTTAGAACAAATTTCGAATAGGGATCAAGGATTAATAGGGAGACAGGTTCCATTCTAGTAAAAACGAGTAAAATAAAGGAACGAGTTCAAAAGTTCAACTTACGCTTCACTCGAACTAAACTACAGCTCACTAGTGTCAAGTACAAGTTCCTAAACTGGCAAGATGATATCAAGTGGAGCTCAGTTTTAGCAGTTATGCCACTTATATTGTACAATGGCTAAACATTAAATATTGAACGTTCGCACACCAGTCATCAACATCCTCTGTTTTTTTTTATGAGATAATAACAATGACGTTCAGCTGGATGAAGCTCGCTTGCATGCGCTTTAACAGATCGCTTTTTCTGGTTAAACCTATGTAAAAAATCTTCCACTTCAATAGGGAGCACGCCGTTTCTCGCTTGAAAAGCAGAAGTGCAAAATCTATCAGACGACAAAGGCTATAGGAATGTTGAGATAGTACTATGCGTGCCCTCATTTCAACGCCTATGAGATCTATGGTAGAGTAGACATCGCTAACGGTCTTTTGCTAGATCCTTTTCCCTTTGCTGTAGGCCTCGAAACATATCATATCCGACAGAGACCTCGGAGCTGGATCGCAAGTTAAAGGGCTGGGTATCTTGGAAAAACCAAATCAGAGTGGCGACGACAACGACGACGTAGATCTCTTCTGCGCCCAGAACCAGTAGCGGCGGCGGATCCAGCAGCGCCCGAAGACAGAATTGCAAATTCGCCATTGACCCAGTTCGTCGCGTATGCTAAGCAGTCACGCCACAAAATACGAAGGGGAAAAGTGCCAAAGCTGTGGAAAACCACTAATGCAGGCGTCTGTTCGAATGTCCTAGAATGTGATGAATATCATCCGCTTCTTCGTGACCGTAAACGTCAAGGCCGTGCCAGAGGACAGAACAAGTACGGAGAAAAAAGCATGGGCAGGCTGACAGATAAAGCGCAACGCGCGTGAGACAAAATGGATTGTGCCAGTAGATCTCCCGGAACTAGAGCTGAAAATCGATGATAGATTCTCCTATAGTTAGCGTGTGCGGAGGATAGGGTGCCAAAACTGCTTTACGCAGTGCAGTAAAGCGTGAAGCACTGCCTAAGCTAATAAGAGGATATGGCATCCAACTGCAAACGGAATGAAAACCAGTGCTTTTTCTTCTTTCAGATAATCAGTTTTGCGTTTCTAGACTAGTTTCAGATTTACAAACAATTGTCACGCAAACGATCAGTGCGGCGTTGCATCTCATATCCAGATGTTGGCTGAGAACGCGGCTACTGTAAAGCTGTTTTTCCTGCTTCGCTCACCAGCTGATTAATAGGTCTCGCGGTTTTTGTCTATCGAGAAAAAAAAACATTGATTACAAAATAGTAATAGAAAACTAAACCACTAAATGAAAAAGGAATTTAACTAGTATTGAGATTTAAATAACTGCTAAGGCAACCTACCACTAATGTCTATATGCTACTGACAAACCTCAGCGGGGACTAGTTCTTTTCGACTCTGAATAGATTGGTATGATTTCCACATATATATATATATATATATATATATATATATATAGAGACATATCTAGTAGCAGGCACTATTGGATTCTTTTAGAATAAGTTGAGTTCCTTTGGATTCATATATGTGTATAGACCATGCTTTGCGGTCCCGAATAGTGAGACTCATTGTTGACTCCAGGGCCATGTTCTTAGAAGCTTTTTTGTACAATATGGATTCGATTGTTTTCCTGTATTCTGCAAGTATTCTCCGTCGCCATTGACATATTTAGATACGATAACATTTTTACAAATCTGGATCTGGTACAAGTTGAAGCCAGTTGCGTGATGACCGTTCAGGTTACACAGGAATACAACCAGATTATCGTGCGCGTACGGCAATTGACACGGTTTGCTCGTATTTATCATATCCGCGATCCAGCCAGACTTGTAACGGTGCGAGGCAGGATGTAACAAAGTGTTAGACTTTCCAAATTCCATGAACGATTTACCATCATGCGCACTAATAGCTAAATCAAAATGGCCATCCTTATAGAACTTCGGGACTGGGCATGACGAAGGCTCGGGGCACTCGCGAGACTTTGACCACTCTACAGAGAGACTCTTCGGATGTCATCGAGGCAAATGAACCTGCCTTAATCAGTTAAGTTGCACAGAATCACATATCGGAAATAGGGCTTTCCACGACACGTGTCCTAAAATAAGCCATCGTTTACGTTTAATAAATACGTTTGCAATTCGCGGATGTTTATCGCTGATGAGGCTACTTTGTCACTTTATCAATTATTAATGCTGTTCCATTTTACGTAAGAGTTGATTTTTTACACAAAGACGACCTGTATTCGCTTGTGTGATGTCGCCTTTGCAGGCTAAACCTGCTGAACGAGTCAACCTCCTTCATGAGCCTCGACAGGGTGCTAGCAGGCCGTACCTCAATGACACTATATCGCACGTCAAAGTCGAGTCTTCACGTTTTGTATCTGCTAGACTTAGATCATAACATGCCTACCAACTGAGTACGGCATTGGATAGAAGTCGCAAACCGGTTTTCATAAGGAATGCTAAATGTTTCGAATTTTATGTTCAGTTGAAACTCTATCAGACGGCTTGGCCCGTACACAAGGTGACCTTTGTCTATGCCCGCCTTCGAACCAGGGCCAGCACACAAATACGTTACTACTCAAGCTAACACTGCAAGCCATCAATACTGCTGCAGCATCCTATGCGCCTACTACGATAAAAACGTATGAAGATCTCAATATTCTGAAAATGACATCATGAGCGATCTGGCACTGTTGCGTCTGGATTTACTGACACATTGTACGGGCATGTATTGTACTTTATTTGTGAGCGCACCTTTAAAGGTAGCAGGAAGGTTGGGCCTGAACTCTTGACACAACGTTATTTAGCAAAGCTGAGATCAAACGTCGAGCAATACGTGAAGCGTTAACCCAATAAAATGCTGGCATCTCTGCAGACATGGATTACAGTTGGAACACTATTGCACAGTTAATAAGAAAATGACCATCAAAAAGTTTTTGCACAGACTATGCAGGATAAGGTAACTGCGGCGATATTTTTGAATGCCGAAACCTCAAAACCCAGACTAAGTTAGGCCATTCAGGGCACAATTTCCCTATTCTTATGATACTTGCTTTAATATGAATCATTATTCATACCATGACATTTTTCAATGTATAAATAAAGAAATAGGAAGACGATCAGGCTTAAACCGTAGGTTTTGTCCAGAGGTTGCTACAAACGTGCCCGGAAGCAGACGAAAATTAGATCTGCTAAGTAGATAAATCGTATTAAGCGGATAGTTGATTTCGGCAATCAAAGGCAAAGTACGCCCGAAAAGGCAAAATTTGCGGCACCATGAGATGTCTAGCATTGGCAGGTATATATTTTCTATTGCTGCGGCCATGTATTCTCGGTTTAGTCATGCCGCTTATTATAGTGTCGTTAAAACGTCACGTTAAGTTAGTGAGATCCAGTACAAGTCACAAAAAAGTCACAAAGGATACCAGTCAGGTAACTTACCATGCATGTCCGACTGCGCTTTCCAGTGAATGAATCCTTTAGTATCTGCGTAAGTTTTGATGCCCGGAACGGAAGATGGGCCCCGGGTTTACCAAAAGCCCTAATGCATTCCTTCAGCGCAAGTAGACTTTTGTTGATTTCGGCCCCTTCAAGTTGCGTTTGTCGATTGGAGATAATCGTATCTGAACCTCTTTCATTGCCGGCCAGGTCAACTAGAGATAGTTTTCCATGAAGTGAGGATCTATATGTATAGGATCAAACAAATATGTCAACAAAAATTCAGTGAAAATTCATTGTTATCCTCGTATTGTGTCATATGACAAAGAATTAACATTAAACTAATGGAATTCTACTCTAATCAAGAGCGTAGAGCGTAGTAACGTTTAACGCCAAGGCTCCCAAAGTGAGCGCGTTTCAGTGAAGACAGGCTTTGAGTAGGTTTACCACATAACGAACTCTGTTTAGGTCAGCTATCATGATTTCCTTTGCGCGACGTGCGCAGTGATGAAATAAAGCGAGTAAAGCTGAATCTGTATCTAGGCTAGCGTCTGCTTAATGCGACGCGGCTTCATACGCAATCATAGGTCCTGCGAGTGAATATATCAATGTATACTAACACGAACTTTGGAAACAGGTTTGGAAAAGCTGATTTAGAGGACTTCAAACTTTCGTCAAAGTTTTGAAATTTTAACTATTTCAAAGCTTGCCATTTTCTGAAAATATATAGCTGCTCGCTTTTGAATATACATACCTAGCTGTGCTGCTAAATCCTAATATCCTAAATCTGTATTTATTCGATACGTTTGGCTGTCACATGGCAATAACATTTTCGAGCTTTTCTTTTACCAACAACAGTCATTTCATAACATGCCGGGCTCTTAAATAGCACAACATAACTATCGTGTCGCCTATTTAAGGCCCCGTCTGCGTTTCTCCGTATCTATTTGTTGAAGCTTCGTGCTTCTTCGATTATTCCCCAGGTAGTAGAGACCAGACAGCAAAGCAACTTGACGTTAGAAGCCAGCAGCCGTTGTAGCAAAAAGTTCGTGGAATGTAGCCAGCAACATCCACTGCGATGTTCGGCCGGGAGGGGAAACGAGAACGTCTTCTAGGAATTACCTTTGCCTGAGACGATGGCAAAACTTTATCAGGACAGCCGTGAACCTAATAGAGCTGAAAATTCTAATTTAGGTTTCGACGATGTGTTAAGACTATTCCCTGCGCCCGTTTACGCTTAGTCCTTACGCTGTTCGCATAGCGAGCGGCTAATATAATCTCTATCTGGTGCATTCAACTAAAAGTATTTAGATCTAGTTCAACTTTAAATTGGCATATATTCTTCGATGGCAAATACGTACTTTTATGTATCATGTATAAAAGGTTTGTTTCAAATTTCGGATTTGGACAAATATTTTTCTAAAATTTGCCCAAGATTAGTATCAAGGCTAAACGGAAACCATATCTGGCACACTTTCGTTTACCTTGCTGTCTCGTAGATAACTATCATATACTCGAGCACGACTTCCTCTGCAGTCTGATACGCGTCTAGTGCAACTGGCGTGCCGGCCACGATCACGCCCAACGTTCAATGATCAGTTTGGCCTTTCGTCACAAATCAGTCAATAATTTCAGCCGTTGCACGACAACAATCTGACTGCTTAATCCAAAGCGATTTGTTGCACAAAGTACATAGCCAATATGTCCCTTTGACCACAATCAAGACTATCTTCATTATAAACATGAAAAGGATCAGACTTCATTCAGTGCTTGTGCTACGGGCCATTGACCCCTGGAGCTTAGTGAAGACCTTTTCTTTTGAGAAGACGGGCATATATGTAAAAGGATTTTGTCTTTGAGGACGTCGCGGGTTGATTCTCGAAGGGGGGTCGCAGGATTCGCCCATTCATTGTATTCGATTTAATGACCTACTAAATTTGGACACTCGTTAACTTATTACCTAACTAAACACGACATCTTGGCTGTCGATGAAAATGACCACATGTTTTTGCCCTAGCAGTAACAGAATTCAGAAAGCTACTATCACAACATCAATACAGTTGTATTAACTAAATACTGGTAATAATGGAAAGTAAATTAGAATTTCGCTAAAACGTGTTTGTCTAGCCACTCAGAAATACGATAGACGCGCAATGAAGATCGGATAAATGAACCTAAAATTTTTCCAACAACTGCACGCAGGCGCGGCGTCCCATAAAGGACGGTAACGAGGAAGCTGAACAACGACGTTACAAGGGTATAAACCGTTCAGTATTTCAAACCATATGCCTTATAAGGATTTGACCATGTTACATTTTTCTCGACACCGGAAACAAGTAATTAGTAAGTGTGTATGAACCGCCCAAAGGACTGAATTTAACGAACCATCAATATACTTGCTAATGTCTACTCATCAAACTTAGGTGCTCGAGAGGTGTTTTAGACTTAAAGCTGGGGGATAGCAAAATAAATGAATCTTTTTAAAACGAGGAGCTCTACTATCAGCAGTCACAATTTCTTCTGGAGGAGCTATCTAGCTAGACATACGTAAGGGTGCACAGAATTGTGGGCTTCGTATTAGTGTCAGCTTATCAAAGGTTACTCAAGTACAGATTGACCCAACGTCAATGCCAGCATATGCAGCCTTTCGTGGTGTTACACTAGTGAACGTTATATCTGCCAAACCTGGTATCCCTGTTTCTTTCACCCTGTTTCAAACATTGGGTTGACGAGGCTGGCAAGCTGCGGTCTCAGCTCCACCCACGCACAGTGCATCGAGACCAGGAACAAATTCCAATTCGTATAGGAATGGAAAAGGTAGCCTAGTTCTTACGTCTGCAGTCTGTGTAGAACAAAGCACCCTGTTCACTAAAAAGTATGTAGTTTACGACGACCGACCACAGTCCTAGTTCGGCGATTTTTTCCCAGCCACCGTCTATTCGATTCTACCAACTCCTGCGATCTATTGAAAAAGAGAGATTTTAATGCACTTACGTTCGCACCGGATACGAGTATGTTCAACCGTACAATGAATAGGAATCAAGCTGAAAACAAAGGCTGATAGAATGCTACGGACTAGCATCGATCGGAAGGAAAAATAACCAGAGGCTCGTTTTAGCTTTCCGGTTGTATTCATCGAGTACTCCCGCCGTTACAGCATCGGCAGCCACTGATGTTGACGTCACCAGTGACCGCCGCGAGACAACAGCAATGCCCGTGACCGCTTCTTCATTACGGCGACTCCGTCCTGGACTTTTGCAATACGATAAAAACTGGTCGAACTTGTTGGCCATGTCTGGTCCAGCCTCCAGACTAATTTCTCCAAATCTTACTGTCTATCGTACGGCACATCCCTTCTGGCACGGTTAGAAGCTACTTTTAACTATTTAATACAGTCCACAGACTCCACTTCGCCCACACCTGAGTAGGCCTGCGGTGTCCTAAGCTGGTCGGGCGAAACAGACTAGTCGAACCGTGAAAATTCTACCACAGAGGTCAAAGCAAACGTGGGTCGATATAGGGCTGTGAGCATATATATATATATATATATATATGACTTGCTGGACAGCTAAGGGTGATGAAGACAGCAGCCGTACCTTATGTGGAAACCTCAAATGCAACAGGAGTTAGTAGAATTCTCTCTCGTGTAACTCAGTTTCTTCAGGCCTGCGAAAATTCATTAATAACGAGTTTCGCAGTTCCCTGTCGAGGACTTCGTATGTTTTGTGTCAGTGACATCAGTTTAAATGCCAAGCAGCGGCGATGGCAAGTAGCCGTTCACTGAGTTACTGAGGTACAATCAAAACGTTATTGTCTAGGGACAAACGGGAAAGCTCGCATCGTAGTACTACACGGCCGTCTATGCGCCAGTAGTGGGTAACGTATTCGTCCGCTGATCTTCGGGACGTGCTGTGGCCTAGGTTCGAACCCGAACATAGACAGACTTCCAAGCTGGGAGCCAGCAGCTATCCAATGAATTGCCTAGCGGCGACACCAGACATAACGGTCGTAACATAGAGGGGGAGAGGGGGGTGGAGTCGAGGATGATTTCCGTAAACTTCCTAAGTACAGTAATTAGCAAACATTATATAATAGCTGTTTACTTTACTATAAATACTCCTCTGCATTGGTAACGGTTGATACGCGCGTGATATGTGGTTCAACGAGAACTGCCGGTGCACTGTGAGTGGTTTTTATTTGTCGGCCAAACAAATCTTAAGTGTCAATCTATGCAAGGAGAGAACTTTGCGAAACTGGGTATGAGTTGATTTGTGAGCTGCCCCAATGCCACTTTTCGATCATACTAATCACAGAGGAAAGTTGTTTTTGACTATCATCCAACTTGAACGTTTATCCAACTTGCTTGTAAAATGTGCCGTACATATAAATTAATAATAACAATAATTAATAACGATAAGAAAAAAGCTTTACATGGGAAGGAAAGCGGCGGTGAAAATACAGTAAGGGATTAACAAGGCGATTTAGCTATACGTAAAACTAAATTCATGGGATATAATCATCTCAAAATGACTGAACCGCAATACTTACTCTCGAAATAAGAGAATCTGAAAAACAGCATGCGACCTTGATGAGTTCTCGTTGCCTTTTGTGTTTGCTGATGTTCTAGCGACGTTACCCTTGTTGATGAGATCTAGCATGACGCTTTCATCCGAAACTTCCACCTCGGTTAATCCGACGACTACGACACGCTGTCGGTTATCTTCCATAATTTTCAATGGGCTCTTATCGTTCAGCAGGTCAAGAACCTGTAACGATATACTGATTTACCTATCGGTAGCCGTTAATTAGTATCAAACGAGTTTTGAATATTGGGTGATCTATACCGATTCCGGTTGTTGTCCGACTTTAGGGATTAAGTTTTAAGGCCTACAAAAGGACCGTTTGTGACTGGTTCTACCGTACAACAGGACATATTACGTTTGTTATAAAACACTTTTCTGGTTGAGCTTAATGTACACTTCAGTGGAAAAGCTACAACACACGTTTTGCTGATGTGTTATTTCCTTACTTATTCTAAATGTTACATGATGATAGGCTGTTACCTTCAAATTGGACAACTTCTCAACCACATGCTACTAGCAGGAATGTTGGCTGATATAAACTTCAGCTTTCCATAAACGTGTGAATAAAAACCGGTTGAACTTACTCTAGGAAATCAGGAAAGTTCAGAAGGAAAAACATCTTTCAGCCTCGAAGGGCAACGTTCAGTGAGCAGTTTGACCGAAGTTTTTTCCTCAAAAACTACGGTGCTGCGCAGATTCGTCAGAGGCCTATTTTGAAAATACAGTATTTAAATAGTGTAAGCGCTTCAACAATGTAGACTGGAGCGTCGAAGACCAGCCAAAAGTTGATCCGGTGTCAGGACCCGAAGGACAAGAGCGTATTGCCTCAATCGAAGAGGCTTTTTATGAAAGCAGAGTTCTACGCCTGAAAGCTCTGTGGACTAAAATCTAGCATCTGGCATGTAACGCGCTAATAACCGAAGTCCTTAAATACAGAAACGGAGTAAATTTTCTTGTAACTTCAGGCCGGCTGGAAATAGATATGCTATATTTCATATGCAATTTGCAGACCCTTTATTTCTAACCAAAATCCGCTTGGAGCATACAATTGCCATAAACGAGGCGTGGTTCAAGTTCCATTGCAAAAAGGGTGGGTCCAAGCGAAAGGAGCTCCGCTTTGGAGAAAACTAAGTGTTGGGCAGTGTCAGATAGGTTCGGACGTGAGATAACACCAGGGGCATTTGCTGCTACGAAACGCTCGCCGAAAATGAAGCAGTTAATATAAACCGGTATCTCAGGTTCGAAAGACTAATAGACCATTCACACGGTAATCAAAAACATGCACGTCCGGTTGCTCAAGAAAGTCATGGACCGCTGGCATGACAATCTAAAACGCACACGTCTAGTTGCTTAATGACAACGCCAGATCTTATTACCACGTTTCAGTTCCTTCCTGGATTTAGCAAGGATATTGGTTTCAACTCGCTCGTTATTCCGGTCCAAGTTCGAATAGTTACGGAGCCTTCGGTGTCTTAAACCAGGAAACTGGTAGGCCAGAACAGAAACAATTGTGTAAAAAATAAAGGGAAACACTCGCAACATATAAGAACAAGCATCGTTACAATATAGCTGATGATTTACTTTAACATTTACAACATAGTTTCTAAAAAAAACTAAAAAAAGGAGAACAAATCATTGACTAGCAACGTGACATCGTAAATACAAATGCCGTGTTATTTGTCGGAAACATATAGAACAAAGGCATTATCATTCCACGCAACGCCTATGGATGTCTAAACAAACGTTAGTTTCAGCGTTATTCAGCTAATTACAATGCAAGTTACGAGAGATTCTGGACGGACTAGCGTTAGTCTTGTGTCGTTTTGTTGTTGTTGTTATTGTTGTTGTTGATTAATGCCAAATGGCATTATGATCTCCCTGTTGCTGTATACGGGATGGGGCGAGTGAAGAACCTCATACTGTATTCCTGACCGTTTGAAAAAATTTGTCGGCAGTTTGAAGGTCCTCACTCTATTTTTATTTTTATGACATTTTACTATATTACTGATGTTAAAAGATGTAAAATGAGGCCGCTTAAACTGTCACGGCATTTTTGCCTTATCCTGCGTATGGATATGATGTGTTTGCTTTTCTTTTTGCGATCAAACCCGGAATAGACTGGCCGGATAGTAAAGCAACTATGGCTGACTGTGGCTGCAGTTCATTATCTTAGCAATTGTGTTTTGTTGCAATTATACGGTCTTCCCTTGCTTCTATATAACGTCACAAACGTTTGACATTTGTCCATACCCACGGATGCAGGTTTACATACTCACAGGCGTGTAGAGGGTCGTTAGTAGAGGCTACAATTTGGGAATTGTTTGCGAGCCAAAGTGCAAACACAGCTAAATGAGAGCCCGGGCTTTGTGGAGCTGCTCGTGTTCCATTGCAATAATACCTCGGACATGCCGGCAGTTGCGTATTTGTACGTACGACGTTTGTTCTTGGCTTAACTTAGCTTTTACTTACCACTTGTGCTATGGAACGATGTAAGTTATTAATATGTGATGATAGTACAGATACGACCATCACTGCCGTTGTCACTAGATTGCTCATTTCAATGATATGTCAGAATTCTCTGGACATTATTACTACTATATTCTCTATAATTGTAGTCAATAATCTGCGGCAATCAATTCTGCCTGCCAAGTAGAAACGTACTTTTGTCCAAGGATAGAGCTTCTCACCTTCGAGCCGTAAATTTCGAAAAAGCTGACGCGGATTTCAAATGATGCGCTGCCATACGTTTGAAGCATCCTGAAAACGTCGCTTGCAGCCAGCGTGTACAGGCCCTTTAGCTGACCTTGTCCGCTCATTGTGTAGGTTTTACCTGAACCCGTTTGGCCGTAGGCGAAACAGGTTGCCATTGAGCCATCGAAAACGGACCGTATCAATGGCAGGGTTGTACACCTGAAATGCTCGCATTTCAGGCTTCATTATTTCGACACCTCTTATTTAAATTCAAAGCGTAAGTACTAAACCATTTTTGTATGGTCCATATTTATTTAAATCCGGTGCTGTATTTCACAATAGTTGATAATCTCCCGTAGCTTTATATTGAGACGGTGCACACAGGTTTAATAACTGCTTCTATTCTGCTATATA